ATCAAAAAAAGATTCAAAGAAGTTCCACTTGCACCGCTACTTATACAGTAGTACATAACCTCAAGATCACAATATTATGTGACTACTGCACCATATACTGCGCCTTGTATAACGTAGTATGTGACCTTGAGGTCACAGTCTTATAAAAATATTAATATATATTGCAAAGCAATGACCCTTTGGGTCTAAAGTTGGTAACTGTTATCAAAATGGTTGGATGCTTTTTTAATTCTCAAAATTAATATTATTGCGAAGCAATGGCCCTTCGGGTCTACATTCATATTGCTTATATATGCCAACTGCTATTTTTTTGTATACTTGACAATATAGATGTGAATGGTGATTGTATTCATTACAAATTTTACATCCATGCTTCTACCCTTTAAAGATATGCCACTTTTCGATATAATTTTGATCTTTCATTGTTATCAAAATGGAATTGGTGTTCAGTTATAATATTATCGATTTTTTTATAAAAATAAATATGCAAGGCCTTATATATATAGATTTAAACATATTCTGTATTAAATAAATTTATTACTAAAATGACTGATATTGAAGAGATTATTGATCTGTATGCAGAAATACCTAGTTTTCATAAAGATTATACCTATCTACTTAATCAATTACCACAATCATTAATAAATGATGCATGGAAACATCTTATAACTAGAAAAAGAATCAAGTTAACAAATATAGAAGCTAGTTATATAAATTCTGAAATTGAATCATTTTTAAAACGTGAAATTGAAAGATATAATAGACAAAAGCTACAAAGTTCTAAAGGTATATATATTCATAGTATGGATATTGGAGTACAAACAGAAAATATTGATAAAGCAATTCAAACTGAGAATATTGATTTCTTAAAACAAATAAAAAAAGCCAATAAATTATTAAATAACTTATAATTTTTTTCATGTAATTATATAGCTTTTCATAAAAGTTGTCTTATAGAATAAATAATAGTTGTCTTATAGAATAAATAATAGTTATAAAATTATTTTTTTATGTAATTACATGACTTTTCACGAAAATTATTCA